CCCACATCACTGAGTTCAAGTACTAGACGTCTCTTGTTTAATGGAATAGAGCCTTTTTGAGACACCTTAGGTTTCAAAGTGTTAGCAGCAGCACTCTTAGGATCCTCCTCCCCCTCGAATTCCTCCGGTCCAGGTTGATAGGGACTAAACCCCGTCCCGCGGTCCCCTCCAGCCCTACGCCCCTGACTACCTTCCCCAATCATCCATGAGCCCCTCCTCCTGAACTCTGGTGCTATCATTATCTCAGGGTAAATTATAGCCTCCAGAGGGTGCACTCCATCACCGTGTTCCTTTGTGACGTGCCCCACGAGTCCACACACTCCACAAAACACGGACATCTTTTCATACATAAGCCTGAAATACATTTTCCTTTTATTCAGAGTAATGCTGGCTACTCGCGTAATTAAGGGGTTTACGAACATCAATCAATACCCTTACACGGACACCATCACCACTGCCTCTCACTGATCCAGCGTCCAACTTTAAAAACTTACCTGCTCTCCGAGCCAACTGGGTCGCAATATTTCCAGTTCGGATCTTCTCTTTGAGGTCATGAACTTGGACCCATGCAGGAAAGGTTTGAAGTTCAACCGTGCTAACATCCGCCCACCCATCATAAGGTGCTAATAGTATTGGGCATCCACGGAATATCCATGGACCATTCTCCATCACTCTTTCCCAGTCAGCCAGGCAGTTGCATTTTATCACAAACACGTTTGTTTTTGTTGCTCGGAACTTCACGGTCTTGGCACAATTCCATGCAGATCGCATGCTACCAAAAAACGCACTATGGCTAAAGGTTTTGGTTGTGTGAACCCTAGCAAGGGCCAACCATCTTGCAGCAGCCTCGAGGTCGTCAACGTTGTCCTCCAGAATGACGTCTTCCTCCTCCTCATCCCTTAGGTCAAGTCCTTTCAACAACTCGTCAATAGGTTACACCTTCGCTCCACCTTGAAGCACGACCTTTTGCCTTTGGATCGCGGTCTCAGAGTGACCCAATCTAGAGCTTTCATTTGCCATGGAAATCCCTACGTAAGAGTAACTTGAAAGTACATGCAAAAGATATGCCCTCCACTCCAAGGAAACGCCAAGGAGGAAAAAAACCCTAGTAGAAACCCTAGGGGACCAATAAATTGGTCAATTTTTTGTGAGTGAAACACTTTTATTCTCATTTTTATAATTATTGATATTTAGTCTTCTAAGTATTGTGGATTCACGTTTTCAATCCTTATCTGTTTGTGAGTAGCTATTAAGACGTAAAATGACTATTAAGAATATGAATTTAAAAGTATATATTTGACGTTGCTTCATTTCTTTTATTTATAATTAATAAGTTTTGAAAACATTATCAAATTTATATTTACTTATATTTTATATAACTAATACCGTTATCATTTTTAGTATATGCGCATTTATGTGAGGGCACACACATAAATTGATTTATTTTTGGTATTAATATTGTATAAATGGCTATTTTATTGTTTTTTTAAATGTTACTCCATATAAAATAGAAAAAATATTAATGGTGATCAAATATAAAAAATATTCATAGTGAATTTTTTAAAAACTAGTCAAATAGTCATATTTAAATTATTAATACTAAAAATAAACAAGTTTTTATGTTTACGCTCGCGTAAAAGTACTTATAGAGGATTAAAAGTAAATATTTTTTTTTAATCCAAAACTTGTTAAGAATAAAATGATAAAATTAAGTTATATAGATATGTACTTTGAAATTAATATCTTATAAACATTTTAATTCAACCCGCTAATGAAAAAGATTCGTTAAGTAACTAAAAGAATCTACTAGTATCAATCTGCTGATTCAATTGGTTATCACCTAGCAATCGATCGTTAATAACCAAACACTACATTTTTAGTCCTAATCTTTCATGATAAAGTCATAGTATAAGGATCCAAAATGCTAGTTTTACAAAAGTTAGAGGATTAAATGTTAGGGAATTCTAATAGTGATGACTAAAAGTGTTTCAATCATAAAAGCTGGTTAATTTATTATGGGAGATTTCAACAAATAGGACTTAATCATACTAATTTTCAAAAAATAAGACTATAGATTAGGGTAAGACTTAAGTACAGGAGCTTTGACCAAATTGCCCTTCATTTTGCTTAGCGTTTGCCCCGGTGAGGCCTTCGGGCTCTTCAGCTTCTTCACACCGTCTTCTAGCATTACCAGGGCTGCCAAATCCTCCTTTCCACCTGACAATACCATCTGCTGCGGCGGCTGCGGGTACATTCCGCCGCGGGAACCGGCTGCGGAAGCAACCGTTGTAGCCACTGACACAACTGGTGGTGGGTAAGACAACTCGGCCGCGAATCTGGATAGGTTAACGATAGCAAGAGGGCCGACTTGGTGCCCCGCCGGACTAGCAGAGATGCTCTTCGTGCGGCCTCCGCCGGCGGAGCTACATTTCTGGTGATTGTGGTGCAGCGCTTGCGGAGCTGGGAGGGACGAAATGGGTTTGACGATGGAGTTGAAATTGGGGCAAGACCCTCGCTTAAGATGCTCGGAAGCAGTTCGGGATGGATTGGGGGCCGAGAAAACGGCGTCGCACAATGTGCATACATTTAAACTTGCAAACACTAGACAATACATAAATATTAAATAGACAATAAATAGATATTAAATAGACAATAAATAAACAGTAAGTAGACAATAAATAAACAATAAATTCTGATAAAATAATCTATTCAAATCCAAGCCCAAATCCCATATTGAAGCTACGGAATCCTTGGTCATAGTGCAGAGGTGCGTTGAACATGGAAGAAAAATCGCAAATAAGACCACAGTGGTCTCTATAGAGTTCGCATCTTAAGACGAAGACTCATGAAGAAGAAGAGGACGAATCTCGGCGGCGAGGTGCGGTGCAGCAGTGAAGTACTTTAGGAGGAACGACGGAGCAACGACGAGGTGCGGCCGAAGTAGAGATACATGTAGTTACGGCGGCGAGATACTTTAGATCTAGCAGGGAGTTCCTGCGGAAGAAGCTAGGTCGGCGGAATTTTTTTGGTAAAGCCTAAAGGACAAATTTGGAAAGTTAGAAATATGTTTCCTAATCTAGAATTAAATAGGTAATATGAATGGAAAAAACATTAACATGTATTATTTTTGTAAAAGAGCTATGATTTGATCTTACTAGGAGCAAATTTCTCATTTATTGTTGATAAAGCTTCAATTTTATCAATTTGTCACGGAAGTTTTTTTTACCACTATGTCATGGGAGGTTTTTGTTTTATCAATTTGGTAAACTGTTCCATTTTGTTTCCAATTTGGTAATTTGGCCTAATCCTTTCCCCAGAACATAAACCATCATCTATCATGATATGAAATCAACATGTCATTTCTTCCGTCCCGCAATGAACTTCTCACTTTCCTTTTTTGGATGTCCCAGAAACAAGTTCTCATTTCCTTAAATGACAAGTTAATCTACATCAAAACAGTGTCAAACAGTGCAAAATAGTGCCAAACAGTGTCAAAACAGTGCCAAACAGTGTCGAAACAGTGTCAAAACAGTAAAATTTACCCCATGGTAAGTTTATTTCCTTAATATGTGTGTAGGTCAAGTTATGAAGTTCATTGTGGGACGGAGGGAGTATATAGGAAGTACAATGTATTTTCAAAATAAACCCTAATTTGAACGTTTGACATTTCTTCCATCCATAGTTAGTTAAATACGGTACGGGAATTAAACGAGGTTTAATACGTACGCGTTTTATTCGGTAACATTAATGAAAAAACGGTCAAAAATACGTTCAAAAAAAAGTTGACTTTTAAAAAACGTGTTAATACGTATACGTGTATAATACGGTATCTGTTACAAAAATTCGGACAAAAAATACGGGTACTATTTTGAAGATTTAAATTATATACTTCACAAAATAACATATATAGTAAAAAGAAATAAAAGTTTACACATATTCAAGTTGCAAATCTCATTACTACATAAAAGAATAATTCTTAATTGCATAAGTCGATGATAAAAATAAAAATAGTACTACCTCCGTTCCCATTTTAACTTCCAAATGGGTTTGGCACAAAGTTTAAGACAATGGATATTGTGTGGTGGAGAGTTATGCAGAGGAGAGAGAAATGTGTAAGAAATGTTGTGAACCACAAATTCTTTATCAAAAAGGGAAAGTGGAAGTTTTAATTGGAACGGACGAAAAAAGAAAGTTGGAAGTTTATTTAGGAACGGAGGGAGTAATTAAGTCCAAGACATGATTTTGTAAACAAATGTCAACAAATAAGACATAAAATATAGATTAAGCCTAAGTTAAAATATTTATCTTTATATGATCATCAAATAACACTCAATTTAAATTCATCATTTTCATCAAGATGACGGATGACATATGCGACTGCTACGCACGCTTCTTATTATTTATGTGTAAAAGTTTATACTAAAAAAATGTCAGGTTTAGAATAACTTTAATTTTGACATGCTTATTTGGAAAAACATCAAAAATGTAATACTCTGTAGTATTTTAAGTTTTAGTCTTTAAGAATATCAGTTTTAGCCTCCATGCAATTCATTTTAGTATTTAATAATTGTATTTTAGCAATACAAAAACATGAGGTCACATGGAAGAGCTTTTCTTTTTTTCTTTTAAATTATTGTTGATCCCCTATATATTGATTTAATGTGTTCATTCAATTCATCAATTCATGTTTTTATTTTTTGTAAATTAAGGGATGCAAGCTTAAGCCGCCATGCAATTAATTTTTGTATTTAATAATTGTATTTATTAATTTTTGGTTTTACACTATTGTTGATCTCATATGCATTTTAAGTGTTTATTCAATTGATCAATTCATATTTCTATTTTTAGTAAAATACGGGAAAAATACGTTTTATATGGGAAATATGAGTTTTTTTTCCTTTTTAAATGGACCGACATTATTTTTCGTTTTAAACGTGTTTTTTGTTCAATAAAACGGTACGTGTTTAAAACACTTTTAAAAATGAAAAAAGGGCTTCCATCTACCTCTAACTACGGCGTTGACGATGATCAGTATACGGCCGGTCATTTATTTAGTCCGTCTCCAGCCTTATTTGGGTACTCAATCATGCATTTCATATGGATCCAGGTATATCACTATCCTCGACCCCTTTTTCTTTGTACGTAGTCTGCCAGCCTAGTATTCTGCTCCTGAAACCCGCTCTACAAAGTTACTAATTGCTGTAGGAAATGCTTTTCTAACAGATGAAACCATGGATAAAATCGGAAGATCTGAGTCGTTTGATTATTTTTCAATCTTGCCGGAATCCGTTATTCATCACATACTTTCATTCCTTCCGTTCAAGGATATTGGCCGTACTTCTAAGCTCTCTAAGATGTGGAAACTAATTTGGTCCAGTTACCCTAACATTAGCTTGGATTTCCAAGATGAGGTGAGGTGCACATCTCCACTAATTCCAGCCGTGTACTTGGGTCGTATGGAAACCGTCATGGACCAGTGTCTGTTTCGAAAAGTTTTCATACAGAAGTTTCGGTTATTTATCTTTTCTGAATGGAGCTTGAAGGATGCGCGTGGTCTGAGGGCGTTTTCCCCCCGTTTTGATTGCATTTTGGGGTCTGCTATTGCGAGGAAAGCTTCAGAGCTCGTGATTGAGTTTCATTTTGGCCCAAACGTTCTGTATTCTGTACCTGATAAATTAGTTGTTGCTGAATCTCTAAAGGTTTTAGACCTTGCAGGGTGTATGTTTGAGGATAGGTTTGCCTGCATTAATCTCCCCCGTCTGCAAAAGTTCAGAACCTATCATTGTGTATTTGCTAGTGAGAATATCTTGTCTAAGATTTTATGTGGCTGCCCTGACGTGGAATTTGTGGAAGTTTCAGATTGTGAGGGTGTGGGAAGTTTTCTCTCGGTTTCATGTAAACCGAGATTGAAATATTTTGATTTTGATGGCCGTGATAAGCTTCAAAGGATTGAAATCTTAGCTCCGAGTCTTGAAACATTAATACTTCATTCAATATATTCATCCCAACCATGTGTCATTGAGTTGGCGGGTTGTGCCATTCTTAACAAAATTGTGATTTGGGGAGTTATTTTTTCTGGTGATTATACTATTCAGAGTCTTTTGTCTAAACTTCTCTGTATTGAAGAGCTGAAATTGAACTACTGCAGAGTGGCAGACAAAATCCAGATCTCAAGTTCATGCCTCAAGAGACTGGTCATTAGTGATAATGGTTGCTTTCCTGGTGCTGAAATTGACATTCCAAATTTACTTAGTTTAGATTTCCACTCTCTGGGTACTTTTAATCCGAGTAACCGGTTCAGTTCTTGGAATATTCCCAAGGCAGAAGATATTAACATGGTATTTAATGCTAAAACCTTTCAGACTGCTTGTAGAGGTGGACTAAAGGGGTTTCTTATGCAATTACGAAATTATGAAGATTTGAGATTGGTTGTTAAATGTATACGGAAACGGGTATGTCTTAATTCTGTCAGTCATCTTAATTTTCAAATTTTAGTACACATGTTATTATTGTTATGAAGTACTGATTATATATTCATTGTTTCCCAAGCTATTTGTCCAAATCAAGGGATCTGATAAGCACCAATTTATGAAGTTTTACACAAATTATGGACTCTCGTAAAAGGCATAACCACCCTCATTTGTGTCTTACCATTTTCTATTTTATTACATGTAACAATTCTTAAACTAGCAACTTTTCTGTAAAAGTTTGTGTTTTTATATCACTGTATGGGGTATTGAAGTACTTTAGATTCTCGTGAAAATCAAAATAATCGTCTTGCAATTATTAAACTTTTAACTTGGGAGGATTTATTTGGGGTAATATGGGAAAAAGAGTGAAAGTTAGAGCATGAATTCTTAAACTGCCAAATAGTTTTAGACTAAAGGTTGAAATGAAAAGTAATCTGTGGCCAAGTGAGTATAACGTCTTATTGGTTCCCTTTAAGAATTGTATTGTTGTATTTTTTACATGTGTATCCCTTTTAAAAACTTAATATGCTTGCAGAAATGCATAATGCATGAGAAACTACACGCGGTTTCATATTCTTCTCTGAATAAGTTGGTGAAGAAGTTAAAGGCGGAATTTGTGGTCATATCATCCCAAGTAGTTGAATATTGCTCCAGTCACATGATTGGTTATGAAAGCGGCGATGTTAGTCTATCATTCATATCTTCTTCCCTCGGAAACATAGAAGTACTTATTTCTTGTGCTCCATTTATTTATTTACAACCCTTTATGGACATACAAAATGCAGATTACTTGGCTTTTAGTGAGCTGAGATATGACAGTTAGTGTTTGTTAAATTTATATTTTTCTACCTGAATTGCAGATTTTGCACAAGAAACTGAGAAGTGACTCAAGGATAAAGTTCTACTATAGTGATTTGCGGGTGCTCTCTGTTGAGGACATGGATCATGAATTTGACTCTACATGGAAATCCTTCATGAACACCCATTCAACGGGTTACCACATTGCCACAATGATCCTTATTAAGAAGACTTCTGAGGAGATGTTTCAAAATCTTTAGGTTCAAATCCAGCAATGGGGCCCGATGATGGTAAAAGGGGATCCCATAAATTTATATCATCATAGTTTCTCTGATTCATTTTGTATAGCACCTTCATTTTTAGGGGAAATTTGATTTTGCACCCAATTTTCATATTCAGTATGCACTCCATCTTCCAAAAATTGTGAAGGAATGAAGTGCAAAGACAAATAATTTTATGCTAAATGTAATGTGTACATTAATGATTCTGAAAATGTGGCACATGGTCAAATATCACATAAAGAATAAGCCACTGCAAGTCTCAATTGCTTGTTGGATGTCAAGTATCGTTAAAGCTTCTTTAATTATAATAGTATCACTTAGTGATGGACCCGGGCTGTTCCGGGCCGGGCCCGGGCGGGTTTTTTTTGCAAATCCTTGGGCCCGGAACCGGCCCGGGTTGATACCGGGTCCAGGCCTAACCGGGCCGGGTCGGGCCCGGTTCAATGTCTAATTTTTTTTTTCTTGTTATCCCCCGACCCCCACCCCCCAAACCTCCCCAAAACACCCAGCCCTACCCTAGGAAAAGAAAAAAAAATGAAAAAAAAAATTGACCCGGGCCTGGCCTGAACCGTCCGGGCTGGTTCGCCCAAAACTGGGCCCGAGCCTGTCCCGCCTGACCCGTCCAAACGGGCTAAAAGCTCGGAACCGGCCAACCGGTCCGGTCTGGGCCTACATAGTAGCGGGCCGGGCCGGTTCTAGGCCGGGTCGGCCCGGTTTGTCCATCCCTAGTATCACTAACTAGGGCTCGACAAAATGGTTTGGTTCAACCAAATCGAACCGAAAATTGGTACTCTGGTTTGGTAACAATTTGCTCAAACAAAATGGTTTGGTTTGGTTTAGTTTTAAACCAAAAAACTGTAAACCAAGCCGAACACCGAACAACTTGTAATATTTTTAAAAATAATTTGTATTTGTCTTTACTCTTCAAGGATATAAAGAAATAATTAAAATTTGATGTGTACATGTTAAGTGTTTAGTATTTTAACTTTCACACATTTCATACATTTATTATGACAAAATTAGTTAATACTACATACTATGTAAGACATTCTTGTATTTGTTATATTTGTACTCTACATGTATGAAAAGATATTTGACGATAACATCAATTTACATTTATACTAATTTCAGTTAAACTAGAGTACACTATATATACATTATACATGGTTCATTTCAATAAAATTGTAAACTTTACAACATTTTTTTCGCCGACTCATTTAGTTTTGTTTGAATATTTTACATGATATTAAAATGTTAATCAACAATAAATTTATTATGTGTGAGAGGTAAACCTTTTCTCTAGTAATTGAATAGATGCTAGACGTTTTCATCTCATCACCATACTTGTTGTGGCGCTAGCTGATCGTCATATTGTCTAGGCGACATGGCGTCTGCTTACGCGATAATTAGGTGACTAGTCATACATTGCATAAAATATTATATATAGTTATATATAAATCTATAGCTACATATAATATTCTGTTTAATTATATTTAATTTGTAACTTATTATATTATATTATATTATATTGTATTGTATTATATTATATTATATTATATTATATTATATTATATTATATTATATTATATTATATTATATTATATTATATTATATTATATTATATTATATTATATTATATTATATTATATTATATTATATTATATTATATTATATTATATTATATTATATTATATTATATTATATTATATTATATTATATTATATTATATTATATTATATTATATTATATTATATTATATTATATTATATTATATTATATTATATTATATTATATTATATTATATTATATTATATTATATTATATTATATTATATTATATTATATTATACGACACGACACGACACGACACGACACGACATGACACGACACGACACGACACGACACGACACGACACGACATTACATTACATTATATTATATTATAATGTGTATCAGCCCATTAGCTTCTTTGTAACCCGTAAGTTAGTCATTCCCTCCTATAAAAAGTGGCTAACTTACGGGAACCCTAAGTATCGAAAAAGGCTTCCGAGAGTGTAGAGGCGAGATAGAGAGATAGGTTTCCGTTGCTCTCCTTCTCGAGGGAGAGCAGCGGCACTTTACACGGTATACCAAAGGCGTTGATTATCTCGATATCTTTCTTTCTGCTTATTCTTTATCTGCTATGGTTGTTTGATTGTTAGGACTGAATTTATTCATATCCCGTGTAGAAGTCGCTGCATCTTGTCTAAACGGCGCATGCACAACCCTACCCTAGACCACTCACTTGTCTCCCAACAGACATATGTTTAATTATATTTCACGGGGAACCTCATCTCTCATTACTGTCTCCTTCTGAGGCAAGTGATACTGACTACAGTGGCCTCAGCCCCATGCCACTGAACTTTCATTGATCACGTCGTATCTAGTAACCTCACTCCCAAATGTTTTGAATTTTCTAGGACACAGACACACTTTTTGTAACACCCCCAAATTTCCCACCCAAAACAATGATATATTTAAAAGAAATACTTTATTCATTCATCAAAGAGTTGAAGAATTACAGCGGAAGTCTAAAATAGGAAAATGCACAGGCAACTAAAACAAAACAATAAAAACTAATAAATAAATGTTTATTTCATGACTATATTTAACTAAGACAACTTCTAATTCGCTCTCAGACGCATGAATTCAGTAATCAACATATCCATCATCACCTGCACAAATAAAGTGCAGAAACAATACAAAAGAAAGAAAACAAAAATTAGCTTTAGAACTAAGTAAGTACTACCCAACCTCGTAAAATAATCAGGTTTGGTGAAAATAGATTTTTATACTATATAAAAATAACACACTCCATTAAAATCTTTTTCACTTTGATTTTTATACCAACTATCCCTGAATAAGATATCTCTGAATGATTAGGGAGTACTACTATAACTCTGCTTCTTAAAAGGGATCATCGATCCAATTATCACTGAAACTTATCCTCACCCTTAGCAGTAGCAACCCTTTTACGTCGGAACTACTACTACTACCACAACTCTCCTTCTTAAAAGGGATCATCGATCCGAAAGTTACTCAAGCTGTACTTCTTAGTAGTAGCCGCTCTAATCACCCTCTACATTTATCCGGATGTGGAAAACCGACACCACAGATTTCTCCCGTGGTGCTCACTTCTTATGAAATCATTCTTTTATCTTGATTTATTATACATCAAAATATTCCTCAACTTCTCAAACTGTCTCGAAAATAATTAAATAAAATATTTAATACCCAAAAGCACTTAGTTTCACTTTTCAAATATCACAGATCGAACAATCTCAAAATCTCATGCATATACATCATAACTCACATTAAAATCACGTATCACATAATACATATATAATACGAGGAAACGATTTTGGATTGGCAGAGAAACTTACCTCAAAATTGGTGTTCCTAGACCATGCTTTCTATTCCGGTCTCTAGATAGAGTCACCTTCTAATTACAATTTCATAATTAGTCCTTTATCCTACTTTTATTAATTTACCCCGTTTAATAACCCACTTTCATTTATGTGACTCCAACTCCTATTATTCCAATAAATCAACGTTATTCAATTCATTAATAATAGTTAATCCACTTTGTCAAAGTATAATATATTCTATTGATAGTTATCCACTTACTTTCAATTTATAAGTTTAAAGTTTACTTATGAATATCCATTTATTAATCTTAAATGTAAAGTAGTCCAACAATTCATCTAAAATTCCTCTTTTAATCCAAAACACAAATTAACCTTTAATTAATAAGTACTCAAACTATGGTTCAATACTGATATTTCGGTTTTAAATAAATTATTTTATTAATTCTAATAAATGTATCCGTTTAAAATTCTAGTTCAATAAAGTCAATTAATCATAACCTATACTAATCCGATAACGTCATTTATATGATCAATTAGACATTTTGATATACATAATCCCAGAACAATATATACCCGTTTGTTTTAGTTTAACCCAATTTTACACAATACAAATAAAAAAACGACAATTCTACTGAAATTGGACAATTAAGTGAGTTAACTAGTCCGAATATATCCCGATAATCATTCAAATTATCAATCGTAATAATGTTAGTATCATTGTTTGATTATTAATATCATTAATCTTATTATTATTCTTATTATTATATATAACTCCAGCCCATTAAACAAAAGCAAAAAGTAGGGAAGCAGAGCAGTAGAGTACCAAGTACTCATCGACGGCCAAGGCGGAACCAGAGGGAGTCTCCTACGACGTTCTTTGCGGCAGCCCAGCGGCGGTCCTGTGAGCGTCGAAAATGGACTGGTAGATGGTGGCTCTTCTCCCGGCGTGAGTTCAGCCCGGTATCGTCCTTCCTCCTCCACGATGACAACTACCTCCGGTGACTCTCTTCTGGTAGCAGCGCACAATGGCGGCGTTCCGGGGCACTTCTCTGCGAGCGGCAGCATCTCTTCTTCTCCCAGAGACCGTACGGTGTTGTTTCTGGCGAGCTTCTATCTCTGATGTCGTCTCTTCTTGCAGCTACACGGCCTCTTACGACCTCCCTTACTTCGGCGGCCACCAGTCCGGCTAACGCCGGCGGGTGATTACTCCCTCCTCCGACGATCGTTCTCTCTTCCTCACCCGTTTACGTTTCTCCCGCTTACGTGAGGTAATAGCACGCGTATGTATGAATGTGAATGTATATCCCACGCATGTCACGCATGTCACATGTGTACGTAGTACTTCATTTGTATATAGTCGATGAGCATGTATGAAGTGTATATTTGTTTGAAAAGTCAACTCATTTTTATTTTTGTGTGGTGTTTAGTGTATTTTGGTACACCTGCTATTATTTGATAACATTAAATTAAAATTGATAGGATGTCATTTTTATCATTTTTGTGATGTGTAATTATCACTATTTACAAAACATCACTTTTGTTAATCAAGTCACAGCCTTTTCTGGTCAACCTAATACTTTTTAAAATGTCACTTTTGTAACATTTCATCTGATTAATAAAATTATTTATTCTATTTTTTTTTTTTTTGAGTATCACACTTTTAGAGTCAGTTGGAGGTCTTCATGACCTACGAGAACTTCGAGAGGGCTCATCTATTAAAGATGTAGACTAATGATTGGAAGGAAGTCTGGTTGTTGCAACATAAGAATCACCAACATTTTCGATTGGAATGAAAATATGTAAAATTTATACCGTTGGAATCGCCTTACA